CCTCTTCACCGGTTGACTGAAAACAACACTCAGTTTGATTGGAGCCTTGAATGCCAGCAGTCATTCAACGACCTGAAGAGAAGGCTAACAACAACACCCATTCTGGCCTATTCAAGAGAAATGGAGAACTTCATTCTTGACTGCGACGCATCCCAGTTCGGAATTGGATCCGTACTATTCCAGGAGCAAGATGGTGAAGAGAAGGTCATATGCTATTTCAGCAAAACCATGAGTAAAGCCGAGCGGAATTACTATGTCACCAGAAAGAAGGTTCCAGCCATAGTGAAATCCTTAGGACACTTTCACACCTATCTACTGGGACGTCACTTTACTGTAATAACTGACTCCAGTGGATCCAGAGCCAGAGAGTCAAGTTGCAAGATGGCTAGAGAGACTTCAGCAGTATGACTTCCAAGTAGTACACCGAAGCGGGCGAACGCATAACAACGCGGACACGTTATCCAGAAGACCATGCATGAAACAGCATTGTAAGTACTGTCATCGTCTAGAAAATAAAGAGGATATAGTTCGAGAGGATTCGGAGTGCACGGAGCACATACGTGGCACAACCATAAGATTGGATACAGAAGTAGCAGATCAATGGACCACAGAAGAGATGAGAAAAAGCCAGAAGAAAGACAATGATCTGAAGTTGGTCCGAAACTGGCTCACCATCGGAGTTCGACCTGATTGGCAGCAACTCTCCAATTATGGTGCAGCCTTGAAAGCTTACTGGGCTCAGTGGGACTCACTGTGCCTACGCGATGGCCTATTGTTTCGCAAGTGGGAGAGCCCAGAGGAGACATCGGTGGTGCACCAACTGGTCTTACCGAAAGCACTCATCAAAGGAGTGCTGGAACAACTCCATAGTAGCCTGGCAGGAGGACACTTCGGCATCAAGAGGACTCTGGTGCGAATTCGAGAGAGATACTACTTGGCCAGTTGTCGTCGCGACGTGGAAGATAGTGCAAACGATGTGACCTTTGTGTTTTGAGAAAGGGACTCATAACAAAAAGTCGCGGGAAAATGGCATAATATTTGTCAAGAACCCCATTTGAGAGAGTCGCAGTGGATATACTTGGACCTTTTCCTGTGACCGAGAGCGGCAACAAATACCTAATGGTGGCGATGGACTATTTTTCCAAAAGGCCTGAGATTGTCCCTATTCCAAACCAAGAGGCTAGTACAGTAGCAGAGGCTTTTCTCAACAACGTGGTTGCCCGACATGGAGTATTAGGAATCAAGAAGACCCGGACGACCCCACTCCACCCACAGTCAGACTGAATGTACCTGTCGATGTTTGTTTCGGAAAACCGGAAAAATTGGGACAAGTTGGTACCGATTTTCCTCCTGGCATACAGAAGCGCAGTCCATGAGGCGACAGGATTTTCCCCATCCATGCTAATAACTGGAAGAGAAATGAAACTGCCGTCAGACCTACTGTTTGTGTTGCCACCAAATGATGACACTCGGAGAACGCACACGGAGAAACCAGGGAGCGACTAGCCAAAATTCATAAATTTGCGAGACAGCGTCTGAAAATTGCCAGCGACCAGATGAAGGCCCGATTAGACAAGAAGTCGACGAATGCGGAGTACGAACAAGGAGATCCGGTGTGGTTATTTCAACCCCAGAGGAATAAGGGAGTCTGCCCGAAATTACAGAGAAAATGGAAAGACCCGTATGTGGTAGCCAAGAAGATAAATGACTTGGTCTATCGTATCCAGTTAACACCAAGAAGCAAACCACTGGTGGTTCACATCGAAAGACTGGCCCCATATAATAACAACGATCCCCCTAGGTAGCTGAACCGGAATCAAGTGGATGAGTTACCCGGGACGGAGTATAAAAAATTATTAATCTGAAACTATTCTACGAGTGGATAATTCTGCTGCAGTGAGGTTAGCACAAAATCCTGAGTTCATAAGAGAGAAAGTAATAAAAGGATTAATAGGAATTATTCAGGATACTTTTGGTTGAATTTTCTACAAGTTCTGGCAATGATTTGATCACACTGTCCGTGTATAATAAACAATTTCATAAGAACTTCGTTTGAATAATCAATATTTGCATTCATTTTTGGCGATTTTTGGAAACACCGTCAATAACCATTTATCAATTACTTATAAAAATCACTAAACTGTCCTAAGCTTGATATTTCCACGGCTACCTAGAAATCAAATTCTTTAAAAATTATTTTTTTTTACAACTGTTATTGAAAATCTCTTTGATAGAAACACTTCAATCAGAACACCCACCAAAAAATCATTTAGAATAGTTCACACATGCAGTTCGTGCTATTAGTAATATTAAATCCCTGTGAAGTTACTGACGATGACGAAGTAGTATTCAGTCCAACTGTAGAAAGTCTTTCATGACTAACCAATAATAACATATGCCTTGTAATCCAAAGATCGTGTGTTCAAATCCCATGGACCCTATAATTTTTTTTATTATTAGCAGTAACGTTATACAAAAAAATGTGTATGATACTTTTCTTAAAAAGTGATTTTATTTTGCTCGTGAGTTTGCTCCACTTGCTGACGCTCGTTTTGCAATAATCCCCACTCACAAAATAAAATGTCACTTTCAACACTTGTAGGTAAAACGTGAATAACTATTTTTCCACAAAAACGGCTTTAATAAGAAAACTTGACGATTTAGGTAAAGGTACATGTATATCATCTTGAAGTATTTTTCACCATCTTTCAATTCATCGAGTAATATACAGGGGGTTTCATTTGAAAAAATGAACTTTCGACTACTTTTATGCACAATGGAAATAATAGTAATTTTAGCACGCCCTGTATGATATGGAGTCGATTTCTTGGTGTTATTTGAATATTTCGAGTTTGTCCAAACTATCATCAAAATATCAACTTTTCATGAATTGAGAGTACTGATGTACTTAATTTCAATTAAGGCTATGTTTTGGACCATATTTAGCACACTTTATTTTTTATCTCGAAAACAGATAAAGATAGGAATAGGACATTATCAACAAAAAAGCATTAAAATACTAGAGCGATTCCAAAAATGTATTATTATACGGGGTGTTCCATTTTAAAAAATATAATTGCTAGGACTTTTTGATGGAAGTGGCAACGCCGCAATGCTGAAAATATTTTAGATCGATAGAACAGGTAAGGAAATGTGAGAGGTGAAATTTTCAGAAAAATCATGCTTTGCGTTTTCTAGAAACGTCTAACCTACCATCGACCGTGAGTCACGCTGTATAGATAGGATAGGGCTTTGAATCAAAATATTTTTTCTAAAGTGACGTGAAGTTAGTATACAGGGTGATTCACGGTGGATGGCATATTATACGTTTCTGGTGAACCAGACAACGGATGACTTTTAAAATTCAATGGAGAGCGTATTCGGACATTCTCTACCCAACTGCGAATTATTCTCGACAATGCGGTGTTGCCACTTTCATTAGAAAGTACTTGAAACTTTGATTTGTCAAATACAACACCCTGTATATAATATTATTTTTTGAATCTACAACAATAACACGACAACTATTTTTAATATTTTCCGATCCCTATCTGTTAGCGTTTTCGAAATATGAATTAATTTCAATTTATTCTTCGGAAATCATGACCACTAAAAATACTGGTTTGGTTGATACTTGGAGGCTACAGTTTTTCCGTTTGCTTATTTCGAATGAAACAATTATTACAAATCCAGAAAGCTGTTGAAATTTGCTATCTCTCTATGTATATCATGCGTATACCTAACTAGTCAAGTTTCGGACTTATGGGCATTTATTTGTGAAAATGTCTCCTCAGAATGGTATTTCCATTCGGTATTTGGTAAGCAGGCCATGATTACTAATTTGACAGTAACGTTATAACATTCTCCTAATAATATTGACATTTTGGTAGAACGGTAGCCTGGTCGGTCGACGTGGGTGGTCTGCTTCACCCACTCAATTCACCACTATTTGAACCGGTGGTTCGAACCGCAAGGTCGAACAATCAGTTTCACTTTCTATCGTCCAACCCGTGTTGGGAATCACAAGCTAAAAGGTAAGACCCCGTTAGTCCTTAGCTCGCACAAGTTTCGACTTTTGACAGTTATCGTTAGTAGGGGGGAGACAGCTGGTTAACGAAAAAACATATTTTAATTTTCTTCACTTCAGAAGTTTCAAATACCTTCAAAACGATGGAACAAAACTATTCGAATGAAGTTCTTATGAATTTGTTGATAATTTTTGGATAGTGTGATAAAATCATCAGCAAGACATGTAGAAAGTTCAACGAAAGGTTTCCGAATATACCGCAAATGAAAGTTGAGCAGAGAGTTGAATTTTGTGAAATGTTGAATTATTGTTGAATTATTTGTAGTATGAGTCGAAATTTTCGAGAGAAGAAATTTTCAATATAGAAAATCGTCATAATTGATCCAGTGAAAATCCTCACGTCACCAAAGGAGCCGGATTTCAAAATAAATTCAGTTTTAATATTTTCAACATGTTGATGAACAAAAAATTGACGTCCGCGATAAACGAGGAATCATCAACATCCAAAAGCTTCTCGATGGAGCTCCTGCACATTGTACAAGATAAGTGAGCGCAGAACTGGACAGACTTTGTGACAATCGGTAGATAAGTCGCATGGGACTATGGAATTGGCCATCGATATCACCCGATCTTAATCCATTAGACTTTTATCTGTAGAGAATGTTTGAAGAAGAAGTTTACAAAACACCGGAAGATAAAATGTTAGAAAGGATTACCTAAATGACTCAGATCTGGTTTATCAGAAACGTCTCATGCCACCATCAATCACCCTATATAATAAGTAAATATATGCCATTCAAAACTAAAATTCGTACAATAATTTGTTTTCTGAAAATATGTTTTTGTACAACTTTTTACCAGATGATGACTCAAAAAATAAAATCTTTACACCACTATTTCAAGATAATTTGAAAAATAAATTGGTTTGTTATCTCTTATCAAAGGTATATAACTCTAGATAGTATTATTTGATTTTCATGTTCTTCATTACCATATTTTCTATTTAACTGCCATGTGTTCATAACGTTCATTTGTCCGCATTAAAAATTTGTGTTTTTATTAACATTGAAATACTGAATAGGTACGCGAAGTGAATACAATCGAAACTGAGTGATCCACAGTGAAAATGCACGTTGACGTGAATACTAGGTGAGACATCATGTATTATACTAAGTGATGAGTGGAATGCTTGTTGACTCTACTCACCTTATACTTTATTTGAGCAGATGATGACAGATAATCGTTAGAAAGTAAAGTTGAAACAATTAGTCTAGTCAAAACAGACTAAAATATATTCGGAAAAATAAAAATGCAGAAAATAATTTGTACAAATCAGGGACGGATAAGAACAAATTTGTCTCCATTCGAATTTTTAAAATTGCATTTTTTGAATATTCCAACAATAACTGAAATATATATTTTGATATTTAAAACTATCAAATATTTTAGAGAAAGTTTCCAACTTATTCAAAAGCTTTTGAAAATGAATCAAAATTTATTTTAATCATACTATGATGTTGATACCATAAAAGGGCCATCACGGACAATTATTATGGGCTTCGACAGTGCAGTGTTGCAAATTGTAGTTGTCATAAGAAAGTGCATATGAATGGACCGCTAGATTATTCAGTTGAACTACGAGTTGCGAGATTGAAAACGGAGTATCACTCCGTTTCTCACGGAGAAACACTCTGTATCAGAAATAATTGTGTAGGTATATGATGTTAGATATATATTTTGTCAGTTATCATTTTGAATTTGAGTGTTTTCTATTTCAAGAGAACATGTTTGATTTTGAAAAAGATTTTGTTCAAAATAGCCTTTTCAAAGACAAAAAAGTACCAAATTTTTTGAAGTCATTGAAATTGCTTCTTCAAGTAAGGCGACATGACATAATGCAGCTTTTTAGCACCAAATAAAACCTGAACCAATGGATGGCGTACCCAATCGGCGTACTGATCGTGAACAAAATTCGAAACATAATGATGGTTATTCCAAGATTCGAAGGAACAATCATGCGAGGGCACCGTGTCATTTTAAGGGCTTTTCGCAGGGGCGGTTTTAGAAGGTTGCGAACAGGGCAACCGTCCAGGGCCACACCTTTGCAGGGGCCTCAAACAATGGTTGTGGTAGAAAAAGAGTTGACATTTGAATCTTTATTGTATTCTAAAGTTTTGATTTAAATAATAAAAAATTAAGTTTGAATAAGAAAGGTAATATTAACTATAATAAAATCCTCAAACGTAATTCTCAAACACTAAAAGTAAACTGATAATTCAATGAATATGATTTATCTCCTCGTGCATTACAACTTCGACGTACGGGGTAATCATCGTGATGTCCGTCAACTCTTATTTCTCACCCCTTATTCTGATAACCAATATCAGACTGTCCACATAGTCGGGATGGCTTTTGCTAGCCGGTTCCTAGTCTTGGCGCCCTCCATCACATTGCCGAGCGGGCCTCTGACCCCATCTATTTCTGGAGAAGACTTTATTCCAGGCTTGAAGAGAGCTACCCAGGCCCTCTGGCGCTGCTACTAGCCGCTTGAATGGAAGGAACGACTTTATTATTCCGGTGCCAAAATATATAATTGAAAAAAAAATCACTATTGGAGTAGTCCTGTAAATTGTTACACTACCTGTGACAGTTGCGGCTGAAGGAAGGAGATTTTTGTGGATCTTGGTCTAAGGAAAAGACGCCAAGGGAATTTTTAAATCCGTTACTAGGTATATTTTACATCATTAAAAATTTCCCCTCTGTATTTTTTTAAATCTTATATTTTCGCGAAAGACGAGGGCCTTTGTAACAAAAACCATAATATATTATTCTATAAACACTACAGCTACTGTGTATGTCCTTCATTGCTTCTGACAGTTGGCGATCTCTCGCGCTAACAGCTTTCAAATAAAGCTACTATCTTCATGAACAAATAGTAGACTGTTACTGCTACTAATGTCAACCTGTGATTATTATTAGATAGAAGAGTGAACAACGGGCTATTCAGAATGGGACCTTTTGAAAGTATTTGAAAGCCTGTTGTCAGGTGTCAATGATTTTAGATTCTTTCATTCTAAGGTATTTTGAACGATACTCGACTTGTCCGGTGTATGAAACTGAATATGTGAGACGTGTTTCTCAAACCGAATTATCATAATCTACTCCGATCAGCTGACATTATTTTGTTGCAACCCTCACAGTTCATTTCTTAGATCCCAGACGTTTTCGTTCTTTCGTTTCTTTCGTATCTTGCCCATATCTACAGTACAGGAATGAGCATCAGGCGGTGTTAGAAATTATAGGATAAATTATATATCTGGCAACAGAGAAAACAGTTTGAGGGACGTATTCTAAAAACACCTTATTGTGTGATTTTCACTAGACAGTTTTACAAAAACGCAACACGTGATTCGCCATACAATGACTTCCTTGGGCGTGTCTTAATTCTAAGACACGCCATTGTATGGCGAAACATGTGTTGCGTTTTTGTAAAACTGTCTAGTGAAAATCACACAATGAAGTGTTTTTAGAATACGTTAGTTGTAGATTTTCATCAAGTATCGGCCGATTCAGTCATATACAGTTTGAGAGCTTTTGGGTTGCTAGTCAAGTGTAACGACAGTAACACGTTATATAAGAAGACAGACGGGTATAACTATTTTGCAGGTCTGCAGGTCAGCAAATTGTTCTCAGTAGACAGTGCTCTCGTAATCTTGTAGGAGGCCAGGAATTTTTGCAGGTCGGGTCTGCCAGACATGAATCTCGACCAGGTTAATCATTTTCGGCAGAAAAATTCCAACCCTCACCCTTTGATTATGGAAAAATTCCACATTCCTCATTAAATTGAAAATAAATCTTGCAGGTCGGCAGAAATTCTTGCAGGTCGGATATGTCAAACATGAATCTCGACCAGGTTAATCATTTTCGACAGAAAAAAATTCCAACCCTCATTTTTCTGTCGATAATGATTGACCTGGTCGAGATTCATGTTTGGCATACCCAACCTGCAAGAATTTCTGCCGACCTGCAAAGTTTATTTTCACTTTAATGAGAAATGTGGAATTTTTCCAAACTCAAAGGGTGGAGGTTGAAATTTTTTTTGTCGAAAATGATTTAACCTGAATTCATGTTTTGCATACCCGACCTGCAAGAATTTCTGCCGACCTGCAAGGTTTATTTTCAATTTTATGAGAAATGTGGAATTTTTTCATACTCAAAGGTGGGGATAGACATTTTTTTTATAGGAAATGATTAACCTGGTCGAGATTCATGTTTGACATACCCGACCTGCAAGAATTTCCGCCGACCTGCAAAATGTATTTCCAAATTTTTGAGAATTGTGAAATGGGGGTTGGAAAATGTTTCTGTCGAAAATAATCAACCTGGTGTAGATTTATGTTTGGCATACCCGACCTGCAAGAATTTCTGCCGGCCTGCAAGGTTTATTTGCAATTTAATGAGAAATGTGGAATTTCTCCATACTCAAAGGGTGGGGGTTGAATTTTTTTTGTCTACTGAGAACAATTTGCTGACCTGCAGACCTGCAAAATAGTTATACCCAAGACAGACAGTGCATACCTACATTGCACATTGTGTAATATTTGGAAATATAGTTTGTTGAAAGTTCTTGGGCTTTCACTAATATTAGTGAATAATTATATACAGTCCACATTGGTAGCGGGTTAAAACCCTAACATTTGGTCCTTCGAGCAGAATTTGTTCCTGTGAACCGGATGTATTTGGATAATTTTGGCATTCACTATTGGAATACTGTTAGTTCGAGCATAATTCAGTGCATCGAGTTTGGATAATACTGATATTAAGAGTGAAAATTACGGATACCGATAGTTTATCTCTGTGGTTGAGACTTTCCTTAATTGAGACAATTTGGAAATTATTCTTCAAAACGAAACATAAGCCGGTTGAGCGCGGTAAAAGACCGCATAGCAACCAGGAACACCCTCACATCGAGTGCTCGCCAGAAGTAGTGCTTAGCGAAATTGAACTCTATAACCCCGTGACTGCCGATATGTTCAGAGGGATTGTCACAGACTAGGGTATATGGTCTGTAGGGATTGTCAGAGACAACTTCTACGAATTGCCGGTGTTGAGGAGTTGGATAAGCGAAGGGCGTCATCTGCGACGGCGACGGAAGGATTTCTAACGACGTGAATTTCGAGGTCCACGTGGTGAAGAGCAGTGGATACATTGGTTTGTTTATTGGAAGAACGAGAGTGCGTCTATGCGTGTGCTTTCCTCTATACCTATTAGGTCTGTTTTTTGACTGTGTTTGTAGATTGGCAATTGTTCTTTTTTCAATATTTATTTCATATTTTGTGCTATTTACCTACCTACATATGTGAAAATACGATGGCAGAGTAAATGAAAACACTAAATAGAAAAAGGGATGTAGTGAAAGCTCGCCTAACACTTTTCAAGAAATTTGTAGATGGGTATTTGGATAAAAAAATAATGGTCAGCTTATTGAAAAAATATCTGTGATAGAATTAGAATTAAGGATGCAGTCACATAACGCTTTATTATCAAATTTTAATGAAGTTCAAACAACAATAGAAAATGACTTGGAAAATCAATTGAAAGTCAGGGAAGAATTGGATGATAGTTATCGTAAAGTTATAGCCATTTGCAAGGAAGTTTTGGGTGGGTTCAATGTAAATATTAATGACAATTTTGATGATAATATGTCACAAAGAGCATCTGTTTTGTCCATACACAGTTTGAGAGCCCCTAACGCTATAATGTCACAACCTAAACTTCCACCAATCCCTATTCCCAAATTTAGTGGAGTTGTAGACACTTGTTGGTTGGAATTTGGAGGCACATTTGAGTCATTGATTCATGAGAATGACTCTATAAGTAACATTGAAAAATTACATTTTCTTCGAAGTGCTTTATATGGTGACGTCAGACAAATGATACAATCGCTGGAATTCTCAGCCATAAATTACCAAAAATTGCATGGGATTTGCTTTGCGATAGGTATGATAATGAATCGTCAAGTCAATAATCACATAAAATCATTATTTGCATTACCGTCATTGGTTAGAGAGTCTTCAAGCGAATTACGGAAACTCATGGATGCAATGACAAAACATTTAAGATCACTGGAATCTCTGGGTTTGAAAATT